TATTTTATCGGATGTTCATTCTGTTTGAACACGTCGTTCGATGTATTTAGGACTTTTGATTGCTGGATTGATTTTATACATTTATCGGAACAGTAGAAGTAACTGCAAGATTAAGGCGGTGTGTTATTTTCAACTTATTAACACGAGAACGAATTTTTAATTTGTCTACTTAGACAGAATATTATTATTATATTAATGTAATATATGATAACAATATGTATAACATATATTATATGTTATATGTTATATTTATAAATTTATATTATATTAATAACGAAAAATAGAAGGGGGTGGTTCTAAGTAGTTCTAAGTCGTTCTAAATCATTAAAGAAAGAAAGAGATTTGTTTGCTTTGCAATTTTTTGAATTAGAAAGATACCAAAAATTTACTGAAAAAATCGCAACCCGTTGAATTACTATTTAAACTTAAATAATATGTTTAACAACTAGACTGAGGATTTTCTGCATTCATAGCAAAAATGAATAGGTCAAATATAAAATTCTAAAAGAATTGCAAGAATTAAGAAATATTGTTACATTTGATGTTGAACTTATTACAACTGTAAAATGAGAAAAGACGTTTACATTGAATTTATGCGTTCTCCAATTAACTTGGACAATTTTTGTTTCACAAGACGATCCGCAGTCTAGTGATAATAAATCGCGGATCTTCAAGCTACGAAGTATTAAAATTCTAGATTTAATAAGATTTTATACAGGAGTCTTTTATTTCCATCGAGTCTTTCGAAAGTTTTGTATAAAAATGCGTATCTAACAATGAATGTACCGTTTACTTAATTATCCAATTTTCTCATTAGCATTCGTTGCATTTACAGGAAGCGTAATCCGTAACTAGACTGTGTAGATTTATTTATTACAAATGTATACACAGCGCATTTTAATCTTGCTATCCTTCTGCCTGTTTCGTACAGTTTCCTCGCACTGAATAGAAAAAATGTAAAATCTCCAAGAACGAAGTTATAACATGGTCTACATCTTGAATGGAACAGCGCGCCGCTTCCTCTATCGACGATTATCAAGCGTAATTAATTAGCTTGAATTTAAAATCTTTCGCGGGAACTGTTGTCGACTTTCAGAAAACTTTTCAGACGGTTACCGTACTTGCGGCACAATTTCATTTTCGTATCCTGTTCGCCGAGAGCAGAACGCACCCAGACGGTACGTATAATGAAAACACGAAGAATCGGCGCATGAATTTGAGAAACACGGCCTGTCAATTAGGGGCAAAACATCGCTTATTAGTTGAGAAATGGCGGCCGGTCATGGAACGTTTGTGTTGGGTGTTACGCGGGATCGCAGGGACTTTCACGGAAAACGATTCGCGTGGTTCGCCGATTTATCGGCGGATCGAGCTTCCGGACGAATAAATTAAGAATAATATCACTTACTTTGATTTCGCCCCGGTGGAAATACGCGACCGGCCGCGCACTGTGCCCGCCCGTCCACGGTGAAAAAAGCTGCGGGGCCGCGATAACATTCAAACGTTTTCCCGCGAAATCGACTTCCTGCGGCTGACAAGTTGCCCCGTCGCATGGAATGAGCACCGGTGCGCGCACGTGGATCGATAGCAGCCGAGAGATCCCGTCGGAATCTCCCCGATACCGACCGCACCGAAAAAAAACGCAGCCGTGAAATTTATTCCGATTTTCGTAATTCGTCGCGCACGCGGATATCGGCCGCTAATTAACGGTTCTCTCACCCGTCAAGGCTCGGATTACAAAGTGGACGCGCGAGAAGCTTCTTCTCCGTTCCTCGAAGCGGGATTCGAGCAAGGATTCGAGCTGTTAGAGAGAGGATTTCTAAATTTTTCCCATGAGAATTTCACTTCGCAGTAAGTACAGTCTGGGACAAATATACGTCGACATCTTTCGAAACGGTGCAGCTTTTTTAAAACTGGACTAAATGATTTTCATGTTTTCTTTTAGCGAGACTAGTCTGCTGGACAAGGAGTGCAATGCTTTTTTCAATTTTTCTATTACCTGGAACAACGAAAAAAAATAAGGAACTCTCGTTTTTCTACATCTCAAAAACTACGCACGATGTTTGATATTTTTTAACGGAGTTCGATGCTCTGACGTGTATACTTCTGCTAATTCTTCCTAATTGACGCTTGGATTGTACACGAAAATGGACAATTTGGGAACAGGAGATACGATTATTCGATATATACGATTATTACTTTTTATATTATGTTATATTTATAGTATAATCACCGATTGTCAACAACTATAAAAATGAGACGCAAGGCTCGAATAATCGTATCTCCTCTTCCCGAACTGTCCACTTTTGTGCGCAATCTGTGCGTCGATTAGGGAGAATTTGCTTCGGAAGCTGTATTTCGATCAGCTTTTTGGGAAGAAAGAATCCACAGAAAATTCTCTTCATTATTCAAACGATACGGTCGACGAGTCGGAGCAGTCCGAGATAGATCGCCTTCGGTTTACTACCCTCGAAGAGGGCAGCTCGACCTCTCTCTTCCTCTCTCTCTTTATTTCTCTCTTGGAAAGGTAACCGCATTCAGAACCGAGCAGATGGACTGACTACCCCCGAGAGACTAGCTCAGAGGCCAAGCCACCCCCGAGGTCTGTCGGGCATCAACCCTCGAAAAATGNAAAAAAAACGCAGCCGTGAAATTTATTCCGATTTTCGTAATTCGTCGCGCACGCGGATATCGGCCGCTAATTAACGGTTCTCTCACCCGTCAAGGCTCGGATTACAAAGTGGACGCGCGAGAAGCTTCTTCTCCGTTCCTCGAAGCGGGATTCGAGCAAGGATTCGAGCTGTTAGAGAGAGGATTTCTAAATTTTTCCCATGAGAATTTCACTTCGCAGTAAGTACAGTCTGGGACAAATATACGTCGACATCTTTCGAAACGGTGCAGCTTTTTTAAAACTGGACTAAATGATTTTCATGTTTTCTTTTAGCGAGACTAGTCTGCTGGACAAGGAGTGCAATGCTTTTTTCAATTTTTCTATTACCTGGAACAACGAAAAAAAATAAGGAACTCTCGTTTTTCTACATCTCAAAAACTACGCACGATGTTTGATATTTTTTAACGGAGTTCGATGCTCTGACGTGTATACTTCTGCTAATTCTTCCTAATTGACGCTTGGATTGTACACGAAAATGGACAATTTGGGAACAGGAGATACGATTATTCGATATATACGATTATTACTTTTTATATTATGTTATATTTATAGTATAATCACCGATTGTCAACAACTATAAAAATGAGACGCAAGGCTCGAATAATCGTATCTCCTCTTCCCGAACTGTCCACTTTTGTGCGCAATCTGTGCGTCGATTAGGGAGAATTTGCTTCGGAAGCTGTATTTCGATCAGCTTTTTGGGAAGAAAGAATCCACAGAAAATTCTCTTCATTATTCAAACGATACGGTCGACGAGTCGGAGCAGTCCGAGATAGATCGCCTTCGGTTTACTACCCTCGAAGAGGGCAGCTCGACCTCTCTCTTCCTCTCTCTCTTTATTTCTCTCTTGGAAAGGTAACCGCATTCAGAACCGAGCAGATGGACTGACTACCCCCGAGAGACTAGCTCAGAGGCCAAGCCACCCCCGAGGTCTGTCGGGCATCAACCCTCGAAAAATGACGGCCAAGTCGCTATAAATTCTCGCCTATCGGCACGGCCGATCTCGGATCTCAGATAAACGTACGCCGGACCATGAATCGGGTCGCAATAAAAGTGCGTTTTTTCCTGCTCGCATCTATTGCCGCGGCGAGATTGTGGAACGGGGACAGATAATTACATGTGTCGCCGCTTGTAGACTGGAAGTCATTAGTAAGATATCTTCCAGCGCTTTCGGATCCTTCCAGCCTCTTCACTAATTTCATTATCGCGTTGGAATTTATCAATCTGCTCGTTCTCTTGTTTCGTCCGCCGAAATAATTTTGGGCTGATAAGCTATGGACACCGTGAAATCAATTTTTCTCGGTACGATGTTAACACTGTGCCTGCTATGCCAGTTAAAATGACCGGTTCCACGTTTTTTATTTAAACATTTTTGGCATTAATTCGAGCGAACGTTGTAATAAAAATGATAAAATGTCTAAATAAATTCTGTCTTGTAATTTTTATAAAACAAGACATGTCAGACGACTTTAATGCTCGGTTTAGTGTTAGGGGAAAAATAGATTTTTGAAATAGTAAATACACTTATGAAGAAGAGAATTATTCTAAAAAATAATAATAAAAAATAGATTTTTAAAATAGTAAATACGCTTATGAAGAAGAGAATTATTTTACTGGTGGAGTGAAAAATAACCAGTGAAGATCGTTTATTGATGATCTCATTTGTTATAAATAATCCTTAAAAGCACACAAAAGAACACGTATGGAAATAAAATAATTACAGCTTCACAGATGTTAGAAAAATGTTAGAAATAATTCTTAAACAATTGTAACACAAGAATTGACTATACCTGAATACTCTACCACATTCAAAAGATTCTTAAGGATTACAAAGTGTGCAGCATTTCTCGTATCATTACAATTCTCCATCCTTCAAAAATTTGTTGTTCACCAATTTGCACAGAAAAAGATAAAAAGATTACTCTTTAGTGTCAAATAGCACATCGATTGACTATTTTCAAATACTTTCTTGCTATCAGAAGAATCGTACGCTCAGAAACGAAGAAGAAACGTTGTATATACTGCAAAAGTGTGAATTATTTTCTCTTGCCTTATAGCCAACGAATCGACCGTCCTCAAATATTTTCTTGCTTCCGCAAGAATCGCGCACGCGAGAAGAATATGAATTTGTTCCGCGAAGTGCAAGCCGCGCAGCATTTTCCGTATCGTTGTATTCCCGCGTCTCTGAAAAATCTCTGGCATTCGAATTGACGACATCGCGCGATTACTGTCACTAATATGTTTCCTCATTCGGCTGGAACGGCAGATGCATTATCCCTGTAATTTCGCGGCCTCGGCTTTTTAAGATCATGAAAAAGCGTGTACTCACGGCGACGCGGCTCTCTTTCAGGTCGAGCCTCGCAGCCAAAGCTTCCCGCAGAAAGACATCGGGATAATGACTCAAGCGAAATGACTCCTCCAATTGTTCCACTTGCCAATTACTGAAGTTGGTCCTGCTCCTTCGTCTCTTGCCACCGCCTTCGTCCGATTCGCCGTCGCATCCTGGAATCAGAGACATTTTTACGTTTCCGTCGTCTAGCCAAAAATTTCAATCGACGTTCTATCTCTGTACCGACTATCTGACACTGTCTTTGTGCTGGCGTCATCGAACTCCGCGGTTCCATCTATTGTGCCCCGTCGGTGGCTGTTCAATTACGATTTCATTTATTTTTTATTTTATCGCCGCGAATTACCGATATCATTGTTCTTTCGCAATTTGAAGACGATGGTAGTTTCCAAAGAGGAACAAACACCAGTTATGAGACGCATTCAAGATGTTTGGAGGTGATTAATAGATTGTGCATGTTTAAATTCGTCGTCGTTGTCTCTTTGATTTCCTCATTTTGTATACGTCGAAGAGGATCAGTTTTCATTTAGTTCCGATCACTAGGAATTACGAGAACATTTTATTTCCAAATAATGTCCACGGTCTAAGTTAAACCGTCCACAAATATTTAATAAAATGACAGTATTTTGTTTAGCGAAATTTAAATCGAAATGTTTGCGGATCCTAATAAAATTAAAAAGAATAGCGTAAAATGTTAACTTATGTTATGAAATGTAATCGATAAATTCAAAAAACTTAGAAACACAAGTAAAATAAATTATGAAGTCACTGTAAATTAACTCAACTCTAAATTATCTTAATAATTAATTTGATCAGTGAGCAATACACATGTTATTAAATAATAACACTCATGAGGAAAATGTGACTTACGCCACTATAATTAATAAAAATATATAATATATAATACATCATATAAATATATAAAAATAACCCTGTCATATGTTACAATTTTAGAATTGTGTGATAGACTATGGATCCTTATGCAAAGTAAACGTTTTGTACATCTTTTGTAATAAAAAACCGTTCAATTCTTCCTCCCGTTTACGAATAGGCCAAGAAAGTGCCACGAAATTATAGTGATTTCTTTTTCCGAATCGCAAGAAACACGATTCAAAATTAACTAACATCCCGGTAACGTTGCAGTATTTGATCGCCAAACAATCAACGAAACCTATCGTTTCTTTGACAGATCGATGAAAAATAGTCACGAATAAACGATGAATTCAGTTTATCGATTTCGCCGGAAGATAAAGGCAGATATTGTGCATACGGAGAAAGCAGCTCCCGTATAAAAGCAGCAGGGGATCGGAAGCTTATCGCCGCGAAATTGTCCGAGGCACGGTATCATTCACCCCAATCGTCTCATCGTAGATAAGGCCAGGAAACTGAATCCCGGCATATTGAATAAACATGGAATTTCAGTGATTTTATGAGGGCCGTCGTCTACCCTCCCATCCGTATCTGAGACAGGAATCTGCGGATCCGCGGATTGTTTTGGCAGAGTCGTTCGCCGAACGCGCACAGATACGTATGCTAATGCGGGAACAGCGGAATTGAAAAAAGATCGGCAATTATGATTGACTCGGCAATAGAGAGTACCGTTATCTGAATTGCGAGACGAAATGGCACGAGATGAAACGTCTCCACGGTTACCGAGAATTTTCTCGGCGCACCGGGTCCTTAGCATCTCGATGCAGATTTAATTCCCTGCCGCCGTTGTGCTCCGTTTTTACGACATTGGAACGATATTGATAAATCATTAGGAATCGACGGGAGTCGTTTTCTCGAACGTTGCTTCCTAGTCTGTGTTCCGAGCTGCTTCGGTGATCAAATGATTGTTTTATTTTCTGGTCGGAGATCAAATTATTTATATTCTCTAATTAATACAATAGTTTATGAGAAACTTTTCTAACGTATGTATTAACATGTATAAGTTTTACTATCAACGTCAATTTTAATATTGAAAAATGTAGGACAACGCGAACAACAAATTGTATGATTCAATGAAGAAGTGTGTCTTTCAGGAATCGAGAAGGTTTGTTCGAATGAAAAAGGTTTTAAAGGAAAGTTTGAATGGAAAAAGATTTTGGAAGAAAATATGAATAAAAAATATTTTCAAAGAACGATTCAATCAAAAAGATTTTAAAAGGAAGTTTGAGTAAAAAGGATTTTAAAAGAAAGTTCGAATGAAAAGGATTTTAAAAGAAAGTTTGAATAAAAAAGATTTTAAATCAAAGTTTGAGTGGAAAAGATTTTCAAAGAAAATTTGAATAAGGAACATTTTGAGAGAAAGTTCGAATAAAAGAAATCGTAAAGGAAAGTTTGAATAAAAAATCTTAGTAAGTGATCGAGCGATGGCGTCTCCGAGAAAACACAGAAAATTGTTGGAGCCACGATGCAATTGGAAGTATCAATTGCGAGGAAGCATTAGATTTCATGGTAAAGGTTTGCGTGGCGCTGCTATTACAGAACTACTGCGATTATTTACAAGCAGTGAAACTATGTGTTCTATTAAACCCTACGCAGAATTCTACAGGTTACTTCCACGAAGTAGTCGCTCCCGTTTGTGATGGAACAGCTTCACACGCACTATTGACAGATGCTTCCACTTTAATAGGAGAATTTTTAATTTTCTCACGGAGCCACGGTATTATTATCGGAAACGGCTATCAAATCTGATGGATGAAACAAGATACGGTAATGAATAATTCATGAGGGAACAAGTTAAACAATTTTCACGTCCGGCTCGGCGCGCTGGTCATTTGAAACTATTTTGGTGTCGCGATACCGCACGATTTCCTCCCGGTTCGGGGAACCCACTCAGTCTCGGTCTCGATCATCCACTCGCTGTATAATGAACCCCTGATATCATGATTATGATTCATTTAAGTTCGCGGTCGAACCGTGACACGATCCGACACAATGATCCGGTCGTTTCGTAATCGTCATTTCCGGAATGCTATCTCTCGGTTCTTCCCGCAAGAACGACGATCTCAGAGACTTGTATCGGGAGACAATAATTGAGCAATCTCGAGCCAATGGAATTCAAGATTGACGGAAAAGCGAACCGCGAAATCGTTTAACTTCTTGGAACAAAGACAATAACTTTTTCGACAGTTTTCTTCTGGTGACAGAGCTGTATATATAAAATGACATTATTTGAATATAATTAATAATTAAAATAATATAATGAAATTATAATAATATAATATTATTATATTATTATATATTATTATAAATTGTTATATTATTATAATATTATGTATTATTATATTATTATATATATTATTATATATTATTATATATTATTATATATTATTATATTATTACATATTATTATTAT